CGGCCGGGAGGGCCGCGGTGCAGGGCGCCCGGGGGCGCGGGGCGAGCCTCCACTTAGGTAGGTTCCGACCCACGGCCCTTCCCGCCGCCCCGCGGACGCGCCGTGGGAACTGGGCACTGCAGGAGCGGCGGAAGGCCGCCCCGCGGGAGCGCTGACTGACGCAGTCCGGAGTGTGGCCGGCTGGGAAATGGGAGAGTAAGGCTGGGTTCGCACACTTCGCCGTGCAGTCCGAAGGGGAGAGGGCAAGGCAGGGAGAAAATCGGCTTCAGACCCTGTGAATGCAGCTCTCCTGACATCTTTTGGGGAGCCAGTTAACTGTTCCTCAAACGCCTTTTTCTTTGCTGCTCTTTTCAATTCCACCACCCTTGCAAAGTGGAAGGAAGAGGGCGTGGTGGCGCACGCCTGAGATCCCAGCACTCGGGAGGCTGAGGCAGGAGGATAGTTTTGAGTGAGACCAGCCTGGGCTACAAAATGAGTTCAAGGCCAGCCTGAACTCCGTAAGTGAAACTTCGAAAGGGTCTCAAAAAAGACAAAAAAAAAAAAAAAAAAAAAAAAAAGTGGAAGGGAACAAAGCCCACGGGTTGTTCTGCCGTTGGTTTTTTCCTAGCATCTGGTGGGAGGGGCGATGTGGGTGAGTGGGCGCCAGCGGAAGGTGCAGGCTCCAGCCCTGCTGTACTAGCAGGGACTCCTCAAGGTGCAGTGGACTTGGTGGTGCCCCGTCACTGCGCGCCCTGAGGAAGCCCTGCGGGGTTGTTCTCAGTGTTAGTCTTTACAAGGCGATCCCTGGCTTCCAGTGGCGTGACATGTGGCTTTGTTTTTCTGTTGAGACAGGGTCTCACATGCAGTTGGGGCTGGCCTGGCACTTGCGGTGCTGGCGGCCTGGGCTCCCGCCTAGGCGTGTTACAGGCCAGGGTTGCTGTACCCGGCTTCAGCTTTGCAATGGTGGGAAGCCTTGCGAGTGTATTTGCGACTGCACCTGGGACTTAGTTTAGATCTTGTCCTCGGGCCAGTAGTCCGTGGTACGTAAGACACAGATTCTTGTTCCCCCTCTGAATGTGTCTCAAACATTTTAAAATTCTGTTAGTGCATTTGCAGTACCTAGTGATTACATTCATCAAGGGGAGCTGGCACACCCACATCGCACATCTTAATTCTTTCCATGTTTCCTTCCTGCCCCTCCTTCCCTTCTCCCTCCATCTCTTGGTCTCCCTCCCATTTGTAAAAGACCTATATCCCTGTTTCCTATTATGTGTGTATTTTTTTTTTTAAATTGGCTCTTTTTTTATGGGTTATGTTGCTCACATGTCATAGTTAAGCTTGTGAAGACACTGATACCTCTCCATGCTGAATAATGATCCCGGCCTGCAGCTCCTGGTCAACCAGGGCAGGGGAGGAACCAGGCAGTGCTCTATGGCATGCTGTTTTTGCTGAGGGCGAGGTGAGATTAGGTCTCACTGTGTAGTTCAGGCTGGCCTTGAACTCCAGTGATCCTCTTGCCTCGGCTTCCTGATTGCTGGGATTACAGGCTTGCGCCACTATGCCCAGCCTAGCTGTTCTGTGGGTTAAGTGGGTTGAATGCATTTCTAAGATAACAGCATCTCATCAGGGCATCACCACCCTGCAAGGTGAAGAGCATCTGTATATTCAGATCCAGTTCACAGTAGTAGAATGCTTGTCTGCCAAGGCTCTTGGTTTGATCCCCGAACTGGAAAAGTAAATCCAGGTCACACAGTCATATATTCTTGGTTCTGGTAGGGCATTTAGTGAGCATCTCCCTCCCCACATCTCCAGTGAGACCAAGTCAGGGTGAAGAGACTGGCCCTGGACTGATTGCGCCTAGTTTGTACTTTTTATTGGCAGTGACTCTTAACCACCAGCTCCTGCCTGCATGGTGGAGCATGGCTGCATGGTGGAGGCTGAGGCAGGAAGATCACTGCAAGTTTGAAGCCAGCCTGAATTACAGAGTGAGTTCAAAGCCAGCCTGAACTACATAGAGACCTGGTCTCAAAAAACCAAAAAAAAACAAAAACAATAAAACTAGCTCCCACAGGGTGTGGTGGCGCAGGCCTGTAATCCCAGCACTTGGGAAGCTGAGGCAGGAGGATGGTTGTGAGTTCAAGGCCAGCCTGAACTGCAGAGCGAGACCCTCTCTCAAAAAAAAACAAGGGGCATGGCTTCAATTCCCAGTGCCACAAAACAGAACCAGCTCCCATACATCAGGCATGTTCTTGGATAAGTTACTCAGCATCTCTATGCTGTAGGTTCCTTAAAATGGGGTCAGTAGCTGGGTTTGGTGGTGAGTTCCTGTATTCCCAACTCTGGGAGACTGGGGCAGAAGGGTAGTGCGTTCAAGGCCAACCTAGAACAAAGCAAGACCCTGTCTCAAAAAACAGAACAAACAGCAAAAATTAAGGTGGGGTCAGTAATTGTTGCCCCCTGGGGTGCTGTTGAGAGGTTCAGTGGTGCCCAGGCAGGCACCACTAATGCTTGGCCTTCTCTACCCAGATAGGAAGCCCGCTTCCTACTCTCCCTCTTGCTGAGGTGTGTTGTTTCTCTCTGACCTCAGGTTCCGAGAGGGGGCACCTCCTGTGGCTAGAAGGAGGCTGGAGCGGACGGCAGCTACCCAGCCGCAAGCTGGCATTGCTGGACCATGGCAGCCAAGCGCAGGGTGTCCAGGGCCCTGAGCTCTGTGGTCCAGGCTGTGGCCGAGCCAGAGGTGTTCCCCGCTGCCAAGGAGGGGGACTTGGCCAGCGCGGCTGACGGCGAAGACGGCCCCTTGGAGCAGACTGAGTTCTCACAGAAGGCTGCATCAAGCCCGGTGGCCTTTGCTGGGCATCTCCGTCTGCCCAGTTACAGGGATGCTGAGGGCCCGCAGGAGCCCAGTCAGCCCTGGAGGCCAGGTCAGGAGTGGATAAAGCTAAAAGGAGGCACTGTGGAAGACAAGGTATGGCTTCCTCACGTGAGCTGGGTAGCAGCAGCCCTTTTGGAAGCCAAGAAGAGTGAATGCTGCTAGAAGATGGAGGGGCGTCGGGGCCAGGTTGGAGAGGAGGGGGCCGCCCAGGAGCTCTTTGTCCATCCCCCGCCTGGCGGGTCTCAGGTTGTTCCATGCTAAACAGGAAAAGGAGCTGCAGACCTTCTCAGCGCCCCTGCACCCTGCTGTCCTTTGTGGCTGCTTCCTACAATTTGCTGGGAGCAGCCTTTATTCCTTTGGCCCCCTCCCAATGTATTCCTTCCATTTCTCTTTTCTGCCCTTTGGAGAGGTCACAGCTGCTGGCTTTGTACCTGTCTTTTCATCTCCATCTTCCTCCCAAGATTTTATTTTTCCCATAGGTTTTGTTCTCTGAACCCTGAGACTGGGTGCCAGTCTCGCTGTCACACACTGCCTCATCTGTCCTGCTCTTGCAGATGCCGGTCACCCTGGAGGATGTGGCAGTGAAATTCACCCCAGAAGAGTGGGAATGTCTGGGTGCCAGCCAGAGGGCCCTTCACCATGACGTTATGTCCGAAACCTTCAGGAACCTGATGTCTGTGGGTAAGAGGCCGTCCTGGGGCCCCAGAGTGTTGGGTTTCCCTGGGCAGGCGGACAAGCGTGGGGGAAAGAACAAAGAATGGAACCCTCTAAGACACACATGCCAGGGATGCAGCTAGGAACCGGTCTTTTGTGTCTTTCTCCCGTATCTGAGCAACCCAGATTAAAGCTTGAACCAGGCATACAGGAGGTGGCATAGTGTCCCCCGCAAAAGTGAAGGCTCCGAGCCTAAGTCCAACTCAACTCTTTCTTATTCCCACCCACCAGCCAAAATATTCATGCTGAAGCCAGGTTTGATCACCAAGCCTGAGCAAGAAGAGAGACCAAGGAGAGCAGGTCTCCATTCCCCACACAGAGAAGTGCTCCTTTCAGGTAAGAGTTGTAAAGCAGAAGACAAAAAAGAGCCTAGAACGGTCCCTGGAAGGGTGGGGAACTGAGATGGGCAGCGATCTGCACACCCTCCTCCCAGTCTGTGCCTCTCCAGTCTCGGCAGACTCAAGCGGGAAGAGACCTTGGGTCAAGGCGTAAGTCCCTTGACTTCATGGTGGGTCTCTAAGCCTCTCAGGACAAGCGAACGTCTTCAGTGTTAGGCACTGAGTGATTACATGGGAAGAGCAGCAGGGAGGATGAATTGACGGTGGGTTAGAGAAGAGGAGACTGGAACCTGGAAATAACGAGGTTATGGAATGGTCCTCTCCTGGGCTGGGGTCATACATCAGTGGCAGATCACTTGCTTAGCATGTAAGAGGCCCTGGGTTCCATGCCCAGCACTGGGGTCCGGTGGAGTCTGTACACAGGGGATTCATTCTAAACCCCCAGTGGGTGTGGGGATCCACCCCCACAGACAGTATTGAGCCCCATATATATATATATATATATATATATATACTGTATTTTACCCTGTGTGTACATATCTGCAGTAAAGTTTAACATACAAGTTAGGCACGGGAAGAGATTAAAGAACATAAAATAGAATGACTATCATAGTTGAATGTCGTCTTTCTCAAAATATATTTTCCATTCGATGTTTTTGGGCTGTGGTTGACCCTGGCTATCTGAAGCCATGCAAAGCAAGGTCAGAGGTAGGGGGGATTGCTATATATCATGGTCGCTGGCAGGGCTAGGGGTACCTGTGGGAGTAGAACAATGAGGGGAGAAGACAGATTTTAAGAAACGCTTCTGTGGCTGGGTGTGGTGGCGCACGCCTGTATTCCCAGAAATTGGGAGGCTGAGGCAGGAGGATTGCTGCAAGTTGAGGCCAGCCTGGACTACAAGACCCTGTCTCAAAAAGTCAAAAAGTTAAAAAAAAAAAAAAGTGGCTAAAATTAAAATTTAGAGCTCTGATCTTGTTGGAAGATTCCAGTTAAATTTTTATTTGCTTATAACTTGAAAAGTGTAATGCTTTTCTCACCTTCAGCCTGTGAGGTCAGGGATGAGGGAAGTGTGCTGGGTGGGCAGGGAGGAGCTCCTGCTGAGCAAAAGCGGCTGCCCTCTCTCCCTGGAATCTCACGTTATCTTTCCCCACCCACTGCAGGAGGCGGGGAGAAGCAGCACCCCGAGGATCCGAAGCAGCACCCCGAGGATCTGAGGCAGCACCCTGAGGCTCCGGAAGACCCCGGGGCTGGTGGCGGCAAGAAGGCCCTGGGAGCCCACAGGGGGCCGGGCCAGAGCGCCCGCTCCTCCGCAGACGCCAGCCCGGCGCTCCCGGCCTCCCGGGCGGGGCCGCCCTTCCGCTGCTGCACCTGCGGCAAGGGCTTCAGCAGGAGCTCCTACCTGCACAGCCACCAGTTCGTGCACAGCCCCCGGAGGACCAACGGCTGCGGCCAGTGCGGCAAGCTGTTCCGCAACCCCAAGGCCCTGAGCTACCACCGGCGCATGCACCTCGGGGAGAGGCCCTTCTGCTGCCCGCTCTGCGACAAGACCTACTGCGACGCCTCGGGGCTCAGCCGGCACCGCCGCGTGCACCTGGGCTACCGGCCGCACTCGTGCCCCGTGTGCGGGAAGGGCTTCCGGGACCGGTCGGAGCTCAAGCGGCACCAGAAGATCCACCAGAACCAGGCGCCGGCGGCGGGGGACCCCGAGCGCGCC